ATCTAATTTGTATCTAAGCATGTCAAACATCCATATTAGTCACAAGTTGCACATAATGGTTAACAAGGAGTGCAGGAACTTAAGGAATCAGCATAAAAGGAATCTTTGCATATGCAATTGAAATTTTCATCAATAATATGATTATCATCATTACAAGAATCACAATGATTCTAAGCTACTGAACAAGTTTAACAAGGTAATTAACATTTAATACAATTGTTATTCTAATCGCTTATCCATCCTTAATCACATTTACATTTGCCATTTTCAATTATATGATGAATATCTTAACATAATGTACAAGTCTCAGTAGTTGTTTAACATTTAATACATGGAGGAACACATAACTCACATGAATTACCAATCAGAACATATCCATCTTAGCAAATACATTAATTTAATTCATTTATAAGTTAATGTTCATCAATGCAAGACAAACAAAAAGNCTTCTCCATATGTCCATTGTTTATCAGTACAATCTTTATATTTGCAATCTTCCTTGCTTTTACCTTCAATAGAATTACATGATAAACATTCATTATTTTCAGATTCAAAATACTCAGAATTACAGATGCAATCATTATTTTATAAAATTCTATTCTATTCAATAAAGCATTTTGTGCATTCAACTTATGAATTGCATGATTTGCATCTGAAATTGCATTCTAAACATTAGTTTTAATTAGATAAATAATACCCTTATTAACAGACACAAGAATCATTTTCAAGAATAATATGTTAGATCTAAGAACATTATGTACAAATTTTTTGGGAGATGCAAATTCCACATGGAAATTAGCATTGAAAACAATCAACATTATCTCTGTAATATCCTTATTTGCAAATGCATTTATTATCAACTAAATCAAATGTCTATAAACAAGAAGTACAATTATCTGATTAATTTACACATGTTTTACAATCTGGAATACACTCTTTACATTGATTATCAACAAAGAAATATCCATCTTAGCATTAATCACAAGATTAATAATCTTAACATAGTTTACAATTTTCAATGCAATTCAGACATTATTAAACATCGTTTAGGTAATATTATTCTTAACATTCAGTACAATTTTCTTATGAATAGCAGCTAATACAACCAACTTTACATAATTAACATTTAAAATCTTCATTATAATAGGATCCAATTTGACACTAGCATTCGTTTTGAATATAAATTAAATTTGTGTCTGAACATTTAAGACATTTATTAGAAGCATCTACACAAGTTTAACATTGAGGAGAACATTTTAGACATAAATTTTCACTAAAATAATATCCATCTCTACAATTACATAAATTTTATTCTAAAATATATTTAGTATTATCAACACAAGATAGACAATGACTGGCACTGATTGTACAATTTAGACATGGTGTTTAACATTCTTGACATGAATAATTGTACATATAATATCCATTTTAACATTAACATTAATTGTTGATTAATATCTAATTTGTATCTAAGCATGTCAAACATCCATATTAGTCACAAGTTGCACATAATGGTTAACAAGGAGTGCAGGAACTTAAGGAATCAGCATAAAAGGAATCTTTGCATATGCAATTGAAATTTTCATCAATAATATGATTATCATCATTACAAGAATCACAATGATTCTAAGCTACTGAACAAGTTTAACAAGGTAATTAACATTTAATACAATTGTTATTCTAATCGCTTATCCATCCTTAATCACATTTACATTTGCCATTTTCAATTATATGATGAATATCTTAACATAATGTACAAGTCTCAGTAGTTGTTTAACATTTAATACATGGAGGAACACATAACTCACATGAATTACCAATCAGAACATATCCATCTTAGCAAATACATTAATTTAATTCATTTATAAGTTAATGTTCATCAATGCAAGACAAACAAAAAGTTGATGAATTTTTACAAGTTTTACAAGTTCCAATACACAATTCACATTTCGATGGATTATAATTTAAGTCTTCATAATATCCATCTAAACAATAACAAATTTTAGTTATGTTATTGATATTGAATGTAGAAGCACATTCTAAACATGAATTAGAATCTATATGACATTTAATACATGGATGACTACATTATTAACATTGAAATGATTAATCCATGAAATATCCATCTTAACAATTACATTATGGCAAAATTTGTATGAGTTAATCATTACAAGATAGACAAGTATTCTCTGAAGAACAATTTTTACATGGTAATTTACATGGTTTGCATGATTCATCTTCAAAATAACTATCATCACAAATACAAGTTTAATTATTTAAATGTCTATTTAATCCAGTTATACAAGATTGACAATTTGTTGATGAACCTGAACATGTATTACAAGGACTTAAGCAACCAAAACAACTTTTTGGATTTGTATCAGCTTCAAATTCATTGATTTAACATGAACAACTATTTGAAATTAATGTATAAGTTAGTGAACATGATAAACAAGTAGAAGCAGTAGTTTCACAAGTTAAACATGGAAATTAGCATTAGTCACACATAAATGTTTAAGTATTTAAAAAATATCCATTCTCACATTAACAAGTAGGTGTTGATTAATGTAAATTATCAATACATGAGACACATGTTGTTATTGTTGTATTACATTCATAACAAGGTTTAGTACAGGGAATACATGTATGATTATTTAATATGTGAGTTGAAATGCAAGAATCACAAGATGTTACTG